CTCACCTCAGCCTCCCAAAGGCACGGGATTACAGGCTGAGCCACCGAGCCTGGCTAAAATGACTTTCAAAAAGTTATATGATGACAGGAACAAGAGAAACGGAGAGGAAATAATAGCAGGAAAATGTGGAAAGTGTGAGTGGGGGCTGTTTAGCAGCGCAAGAAGGTTGGCGCCCGAGCCAAGAGTAAGTAGAGCAAAGACGCCGCAAGATGCACACTTTGGGAACTCCGGGAGGTTCAGGGTCGTTGACACCAGGTACCTCTGGAAGTGGTGACAAAGTTGGGGCCTCAGTTCTCCTCCTAAGATCAGGAACAACACAAGAATGCCTGCTCTCTCCTCTTTCACTTAACACTGCATTAGGTGTTCTGGCCAGGGTAATCGGGCAAGAAAAAGAAACAAAAGGCATTCAGGCTGGAAATGAAGAAGCAAGCCTATCTCAATCTGTAGATGACACAATCTTGTATGTAGAAAATCCTAAAGAACCCACTAAAAAGCTATCCGTACTAATAAATGACTTCAGCAAGGTTGCAGGATACAAGATCAAAAAAAAAAAATCAGTTGTAGTTTTATATACCAGCAGTGGATAATACAAAAAAAAAAGTAAAGCCGGACTTGGTGGCTCAGCCTGTAATCCCGCGCCTTTGGGAGGCTGAGGTGAGTGGATTGCCTGAGCCCGTGGGTTCAAGACCCGCCTGGGCAGCGAGACCTCATCTCTACAATAAATCAAAAAATCAGCCAGGCGTGGTAGCACGTGGCTGCGAGGCTGCGGTGGCCGGGAGCGGCCACTGCACTTCAGTCTGGGCAACAGAGTGAGACTCCAACTCAAAAAAAAAATGAAATGAAATGAAATGAAATGAAATGAAATGAAATGAAACAATCCCACTTACAGCAGCATCAGAAAGACTAGAATAACTAGGAATTCAACAAAAAAGTAGAAGACTTATACACTGAAAACTATAGAACATAATTGAAAGCAACTAAAGATGACAAATAAATGGAAAGACATACCATGCTCATGGACCAGGATATTGTCAAGATGGTAATACCCCCCAGATTGATTTCTAATTTTAATTCATCCCCAACAAGATCTCAGCTGCCTTTTTTCCCCCCAGAAATTAACAAGTTGATTCTAAAACTCATATAGAAAAGCAAGGAATCTAGACTAGCCAAAATAATCGCTAAAAAGAACAACAAGGTTGAAAACACTTACTGATTTCAAAATTTACTATAAAGCTATAGTGGCAAAGACATTGTGGCATTAGGATAACGACAGCCATACAGATCAATGGAAAAGAATTGAGAGTCTAATGCAGTTGGCCTCCTATATCGTACCACACACAAAAATGAACTCAGAATGCAGCACAGACTTACACGTAAGATCTAAAACTATAACATTCTTTTTTTTTTATTTTAAAGTTGTGGGGTACAATTCAGGGTTAGGTACACAAATGTTCATTATGCAGGCTCCCTTGCTGATTTTTCTTTTTTTTTTTTTTTTTTTTTTAGTCAGAGTCTCACTCTGTCACCCAGACTGGAGTGCAGTGGCACTCTTATGGCCACTGCAGCCTTGACCTGCTGGATTCAGGTGATCCTTCCACCTCAGTCTTCCAAGTAGCTAGAACTATAGATGTGTGCCACCGCGCCCAGCTAATTTTTTGATTTTATTGTAGAGATGAGGTCTCGTCAAGTTGCCCTGGCTGGACTCAAACCCCTGAGCTCAGGCAATCCTCTTGCTTCCGCCTCCCAAAGTGCTGGGATTGCAGGCGCGAGCCACCACACCCAGCTAAAAACATTCTTAAAGAAAACCAAGGAGTGAGTCTTTGTGACCTTGGGTTAGTCAATGGTTCTTAGATATGATACCAACCACAGGTGACAAAAGAGATAAATTTTATTACATCAAAATTTTAAAATGCACTGCAAATGATGTCATCAAGAAAGTGAAGAGACAATCCATGCAATGGGAGAACATATTTGAAAATCATGTATTTAATAAGAGACTTGTATCTAGAAGATGAAATGAACACTTATGATTCAGTAATTAAAAGAAAAAATACAATTTTTAAAAAATGGGCAAAGGATTTGAATACATACAAATGATCAATATGAAAAGATGACTAGGAAAATACAATTCGAAACTCCACGGTGATGCCAATTCACATCACTAGGGTGGCTACAATGAAAATGACAGACAGCAACAAACAAGTGTCGGTATGGAGGTGGAGAAAGGGTAATACTCATACACTGCTGGCGGGAACGCAAAATGCTGCAGCTGCTCTGGAAAACGGTTTGGCAGTTCCTCAAAATATTACACATATTGAGTTACTGTAAGGCCCAGCAGTTCCACCCTTAGCTATATACCCCAGAGAATTAAAAATACGTGTCCCGGCAAAATCCAGTACACAATGTTCAGAGCAGCGTGACTCATAACAGGCAAAAAGTGGAAACAACCCAAACGCTTATCAACTGTGAATGAAAACAAAATGCTGTATCCAGGCAAGGGGGCTTTTATTCAGCAACAACCAAAAAAGAGAGTGCTGGTATAGGCTGCCTCGTGCATGAATCTCCAGATATTGCGCCAAGTGAAATAAGCCAGTCACAAAAGGCCACAGACTGCATGATTCCATTTACAGGAAATGTCCAGAATGGGCAGATCTATAAAGACAAAAACTACATTATTGGGAGGGGTGGGTAGGGAGTGCCATTGGTACTGAATTTCTTATTTGGAGGAAAATATGCTAAAATTATATTGGAGCGATAATGGTCACACAATCCTGTGAATATTCTTTTAAAAAAACTGAAATGTACATTTTATTTTATTTATTTATTTTTCGAGTCAGAGTCTCACTCCGTCACCCAGACTGGAGTGCAGTGGCATGCTCACGGTCACTGCAGTCTCAACCTGCTGGACTCAGATGATTCTTCCGCCTCAGCCTTCCAAGTAGCTGGAACTACAGGCACGCGCCACCACGCCCAGCTAATTTTTTGATATATTGTAGAGACAAGGTCTCACCAAGTTGCCCAGGCTGGTCTTGAGCCCCTGGGCTCAGGTAATCCTCTTGCCTTGGCTTCCCAGAGTGCTGGGATTACAGGCTTGAGCCACCGTGCCCGGCCTGAAATGTACACATTAAATGGGTGCATTGTATATCTTAATTATATTTCAGTAAAGCTATTTTTAAAAAACCAAGAATGCATGTTTCAGTTAGCCTATTTCATACCTTTCTTCAGCATCCCTGAGTGCAATTTCAAGTCTTTCAACCTTCTGATTCCCTTCTCTCAGACAAAGCAGGAGTTGGCTCACAGTTAATTCTTCACATTCCAAATAATTCTTGGTACCATCTGCAGACTTACTCCTATGTTAAGACAATACTGTGTTCAGTATAAGGGTTAAAAAAGGTTTTCACCAGAAAATAAAAATATCAAAGCCTAAGAGTAAAGTAGCCCAATATACCTGGAACTGACTTAAAAGGGACTGCTTTCTAGAGCATTCTCCAATTAATTCCTGAGACCCCCAGTGTCATACTCTTCCATGCTTTCTAGGGAAGGTGTGGAGACACAGTGAGGCTCCGGAGAGGCTCACATGGCACACACATGTTTCTTCCAAATCGTCACTGTGTACCCGACACCAGCCCACAAAACCTTTGGGAAGAGTTCAGCAGAGGCAGCCCTGGTTGGAGGTGCCTGCCTTTCCAGAGATCCAGTCTCAAGGAGGACCGCAGTCAACGAAATATATGGGCACATGCATATACACTGCTGGCCTTTCTCCAACTTGACAGACACCGGCACCACGTCAAGTCAAGAGAAGAAAATCATTTTTCCTTTCTGGTTTCAAATAATGAGAGCAGAGAAAAGCAGGTACTGTTGGTATGCCAAATATTTTTCTTCATTTTAAAATCTGATTAAACCAAGAGACATTTCAGCGTCAAACAAATAAAACCATGACCACCACCACAATCACAAAGCATTAGGGGTGACTATGATGATGTGGATGGCAGAGCAGCAACCTGCTCAACTTCTCACATCTGACAAACAGCCAGGATTAAATCCCAGTTACCAGGATTGCGAACCTCTAACACCAAACCTAGAAACCAATCTCAGACTCCTCACGATACAGATGGGACTCGGGGCTGTTATTATTTTAAAAATAGCAATGTGGCTTAAAAGAGGAAGCGGTTTTTGCTTGTGGATATGAATGAAGAGGAAGTGGCTTGAAAATTTCAAACAGGGCTTTCTTCCTTCCCACTACTTCCAAGAAAGTCTTTGCATGTGTGTGTGTGTGTGTGTGTGTGTGTGTGTGTGTGTGTGTGTTTTAATGCAAATTGGGGGAACGTTAAAGAGTTTTTAGCTAAAAAAAGAGGAATAAATATCACATGCCAATTGCCCTAGTTGATGAAAGAATATCATCTAATACTTATTTTCTCCTTTATACAAGGGCTTGGGAACACAATTGAGGAAAAATTTTAAAACGTTTTCGAAGTCGGCCGAGCTCGGTGGCTCAGCCTGTAATTCCAGCACTTTGGGAGGCCGAGGCGAGTAGACTGCCTGAGCCCGCCGGTTTGAGACTAGCCCGGGCAACTTGGTAAGACCTCATCTCCACAATAAAAAAAAAAAATAGCTGGGCGTGGTAGCCAGGCTACCACAGACGCTGAGGAGGAAGGATCGCTGAAGCCCAGAAGGTTGATGCTGAGGTGGCTGTGAGCATGCGTGCCACTGCACTCCAGCCTGGGCGAAGGAGTGAGACTCCAACTCAAAAAAAAAAAAAAGTTTTTGAAACCATTCTCTATGCATACTCATCAGGCTATAGAGAACAAGTTTTAAAAGTCTTTGAGGAGCCGGGTGCAATGGTGCATGTCTATAATCCCAGCTACTTGGGAGGCTGAGGTGGGAGAATCGCTTGAGCCCAGGAGTTCGAGATCAGCCTGGGCAACTAGTGAGATTCGTCTCTAAGAAAAAAAAACGTCTATGAAGAAAGTGATCCCTAGAGGATTTCTCAGACTCCTGTCTCTTGGTTGGACTAATACAGTAATAATTAACGTGCAGAGGAGAAGCCAGCAGCCTCCTGGAATGGACACTGTCTCCCAGAGTTAGGAGGTTCAGGTGCCCAGTTCTTGCACTATGTCTTTCCTCAAAGGCTCCCACCGCCACTATTTAAGACGTCTGTTTCCTAATATCTACTCGGTACAGGTAAACTGGAGACTCCCCAGATGAGAGACCCAGGCCCTTTTAAGTGACATCCATGGTGACCAAGAGCACTACTGGTCATTGTTACAGAACACGAGCCAGGACGGGTCAACTGGCTTGTAACTGGCAAGCAGAAAGGAACAGAATGGAAAGCTCTCATTTATGGAAGCTGGACAGCCTGGTCCAGGCCAAACAGCACCAGGGAGCCAATGAGCAAACATGGACCTTTTGATCAGGAACAGACAGCTGATCTGATTGAGAACCAGTCTGTTTTCACTTCTTATCTGCTAGAGGCAAGACACACCTAGACCAGAATGGCCAGAGTCAGCCAGTCAAACAAGCACCAAACGATCTTCCAATCTCTGCCAGTTTTGTCTCCGACCTCAAATAGCACTCAGAGAGGATATTCTTGAAAGGTCCTGGTATTAAAAAAGAAGATACGTGTGCACGCATGTTTATTGCAGCACTATTCGCAATTGTACAAACATGGAACCAAACGTGCTGCCCATCAAAATGGGACTGGATTTTTAAAAAGGGTATATATACATGATGGAATATTACATAGCCATAAAGAACAAAATTATGGACTTTGCAGAAACATGGATGGATGAATGGACAGATAAATAGTTGGTCTGTCTGCCTGTCCCTACCTACTTACCTACCTACCTACCTATCTATTTATTTTGAGTCAGAGTCTCACTCTGTCACCCAGACTGGAATGCTGTGGCATGTTCATGGCCACTGCATCCTTGACCTGCTGGGCTTAGGCAAACCTTCTGCTTCAGTCTTCCAAGTAGCTGGAACAAGAGGCATGTGCCACCATGCCCAGCTAATTTTTTTTGATTTACTGTAGAGACGAGGGCTTGCCATGCTGCCCAGGCTGGTCTTGAAACCGTGGGCTCAGGTAATCCTCTCACTTCAGACTCCCAAAGTGCTGGGATTATGGGCATGAGTGACTGTGCCTGACTTTGAATAGATTTAGAGTCTATAACACTCGGTGATGTAGCACAGAAACAAAGGACTGAGCACTACATGTTCTCACTCATAAGTGGACCCTGAACACCTACCATAATACTACATGAAAGGGATTGGCAGAAGCAGATGACTGCCAGGGGAGGGGGTGCATTTATTAATAACATTAATAAAGTTCCAAACCAGGTGAAGTGAGGACTAATGGAAGTCCACTTATGTACCCAACTCTGAATTGTACCCCACATCATTAAATACATTAATAAATAAATAAACAAATAGAAAGAAAGAAAGATCCTAGTATAAATTAATAAGAAGCAACTTTTTCTGGCCATTACATTTGACCTCCAGTGAGAAGCTCAAAGTGACAAGCCTGCTGGGCATGGTGACTCACGCCCGTAATCCCAGCACTTTGGGAGGCAGAGGTGAGAGGATTGCCTGAGCCCAAGGGTTTGAGGCCAGCTGGACAACTGGGTGAGACCACCCCTCTACAACAAATAAAAAAAAAAATTAGCCGGGCACGGTGGTGCAAGCCTGTAGTTTCAGTTACTTGGAAGGCTGAGGTGGAAGGATGGCCTGAGCCTAGCAGGTCAAGGCTGCGGTGGCTGTGAGCATGCCACTGCACTCCAGCCTGGGCAACAGAGTGAGACTCTAACTAAAAACAAACAAACAAACAAACAAAACTAACTAACAAGCCTGCCCAGTGCTTCTCCCTGGCAGCCCACGTTTTCCTCACGTACTTGTCAATGGAGTCTGTTCTCATGGGCCCAGGGCAATTCTTGACTTCTTTGATTGATCCAATTGCTCCTCCTTCCTGTAAAAGCAGAAAGGAAAAGGATTTAACACAGTATGTCTCCAAGACAAATTGTTAAAAGAAAAAAAAGACAACAGACGAAGAATTTTGAAGATGTGCAACCCAAGGAATCTCCCAGGCATTTCGATGTGAAAAGTTGGACTTGGGTTGCTCCGATGGATGGAAATGTACCCCTCCCTAAGCCCGCACACCATGTCTGGGTTATAAATATCTAGGCTATGGCGCGAAGGTCAGTCTTCTCTCAGGGAACACATTCAACCTTGACTCTGAGAACATGAAAGCTTATCTCCTCCTCCCTCTCCTTAGCAGTCCCCTCCTTCTCGAGGTTAAGTTCCTGCACAGCTAGTTAAGTTCGTGCACACCCTTCCTTTAAAATGCAAAATGCTAGAATGTGCTGAGGCAAAGCTGAAAGAGGCAGTTTTCTGTGAAGGAGACTCACATAACACCATCTCAGTCAAGTTGGGTCCCACTAGAAATCTATGCATCGCAGGTCACTTAGGGAACAAGAAGACTTAAGACCTGCAGGATTTGAAAGGCATTTTTTTTTGAGTCAGAGTCTCACTCCGTCGCCCAGGTTGGAGTGCAGTAGCCCACTCACGGCCACCACAGCCTCAACCTGTTGGGCTCAGGCAATCCTTCCACCTTAGCCTTCCAAGTACAGGCACGCACCACCATGCCCTAATAACTTTTCGATTTATTGTAGAGATAAGGTCTTGCCAAGTTGCCCAGACTGTTCTCGAACCCATGGGTTCAGGCAATCCTCTCACCTTGGCCTCTCAAAGTGCTGGGTTACAGGCTTCAGTCACTGCATATTCCAATAGGCTCAAGGGAAAATACCCTCACAAATACACCAAGATGATACTACATATATATATTTTTTTGTTTGGGGTCATTGGAGGTTCTAGATTTTTTTTATACCCTCTTCTTAAATCTTAGGCAGTATTTTCCAGTTCACAGAAGCAAAGTAAGCAGAATACGTTTACACTAAAAATAACTGTCACTCATCTGTGTGGGAGAATGTGATGCGAATCGTGAACACTGACAGAAGAAGCCTCACATGGAAACTTCTGATATGCTGCTTGAGCATCTTGAATTTTATCAGTTACTTGCAGAAGGTGCAAGGTCTTTGATTAAACTCCCGTCTCAGTACTCTTTGGTCACTTACAGAAAGGGTGCACTGGCAAAATGTGCTTTTCAATTGGTATTTTAATCTCTCTTTTTTTTTTTTTTTTTGAGTTGGAGACTCACTCTGTCACCCAAACTGGAGTGCAGTGACCACTCCCGGCCACCGCAGCCTCGGCCTGCTGGGCTCCAGCGATCCCTCCACCTCAGCCTTCCGAGTAGCTGGAATTACAGGCATGCGCTACCACGCCTGGCTGATTTTTTGATTTATTGTAGAGATGAGGTCTTGCTGCCCAGGCAGGTCTCAAATCCACGGGCTCAGGCAATCCACTCACCTCAGCCTCAAAAAGGCACGGGATTACAGGCTGAGCCACTGAGCCCGGCTTTTTTTTTTTTTGAGTTGGAGTCTCCCTCTGTTGCCTAGGCCGGAGTGTAGTAGCACATTCACAGCCACCACAGCCTTGACCTGCTAGGCTCAGGTGATCCTTCTGCCCCAGTCTTCCAAGAAGCTGGGACTACAGGTGTGCGCCACCATGCCTGGCTAATTTTAAAACTTATTTTAGAGATGAGGTCTCACCATGTTGTCTAGGTTGGACTTGAACTCCTAGGCTCAGGCAATCCTCTTGCCTCAGCCTTCCAAAGTGCTGGGATTACAGGCGTGAGCCACTGTGCCTGGTTAGACTTTGTTTGAAAAAAGGGTTCTACTATTAAAAAGTGCTTAAATTCATTTACTGCATTCATTTGATCACAATTCTGCTCACATAAGTGAACTGTGAACACAGACAGCTTTGAGATCTGCTCTGAAAAGTGAAAGCTCGTGCTTCTTCTCTCTCCTTTTTTTAGCCACAAAAATGTCTGATTTTCCAGTATATATTGAAAAAAAAATAGACTACATCTTATGTCACAAAAGGTAATTAATATTTTTCCATTTCGGCTGTGATGAACCTTACAAGCATTATGTTATACTTTAAAAATGAGAGCCATTTAATCTTTGCTGCCCTGAAATTTCCCCATTACTTGGCTTCCTTGTGTTGAAAAAAAAGTGGTATTTGTTTCATCTGTCCAGGTGAGGCTTTTAGTTTTCTTAAAGTGCGCGCGCGCGCACACACACACAGACACACACAAACTTACAGTCATCCTAATTTCAACAAAGGAGTCTTCTAAGGAGCCACTGGAATTCAGCTTGAGCTGCAGTTCGGACACGATGCCCAGCAGATCTGCCTTCTCTGCTTGCAGCCGTGCCACCTGGGTCCTCAGCTGGTCCACTTCCTGTTCTGCATCCGTGATGGGGAGCCTGGAGTCACCAGCGGGGTCCTGGAAGCGCCAAGGAGTAACGCAAACTAATAAACTGTACTAAGGACCTGGCCCGCAGGCCCGGCTGCCCCACACCCACTGGCAAGGCAGTCTCTCGACGTCATTGACCCCGTGCCCCAGAGCAGAAAAGCCTAGCTCTCACTTGACAATGTGACAGAGTCTCAGCCTTCCAAATAGCTGGGACCACAGGAGTGCGCCACCAGGTCTGGCTAGTTTTTTGATTTATCGTAGAGACAAGGTCTTGCCAAGTTGCCCAGGCTGGTCTCAAGCCCACAGGCTTGGGCAATCCTCTCGCTTCAGCCTCCCCAAAGTGCTGGAATTACAAGCATGAGCCACCCACCCAGCACTTTGGGAGGCTGAGGTAAGAGGATTGCCTGAGCCCAGGAGTTTGAGATCAGCCTGGACAACATAGCAAGACCTTTTCTCTCTGGAAAAAAAAATAGTCAGATGTAGTGGCATGTGCTTGTAGTCCTACCTCCTCAGGAGGGCTGAGAGAGAAGGATTGCTTGAGCCCAGGAGGTCGAGGTTGCAGTGAGCCATGATTGTGCCACTGCACTCCAGCCTGGGCCAAAGAAAGACCTGGACTCAAAAAAAAATTTTTTTTAATGGAAATTTTCACTTGATTTTATTGTATTCAAATAAAAGGGATTTAAAATACCTTCATGACAAGAAAGAAAGGCTTCCTCTCCACACTGGAATAATCTGATATTATGACAATAACCAACCAGAGTTTGGCAGCAATAGACTCAGAGCCGTATTCCAAAATTCCCAAAAGGAGAGACAAAATCTGCCATCACCCATCCGCCTGCTTTTTTCCTCCTCGTCAATGCCCACCCTGCCCACTCTCCCTACACTCAGCATGTCTCATTAGAAGCCAAAACAATAAGGACATTACTTGGTCCAGTAACAGCAAAACACAATGAAAGGTCTAAAATGCTCCTAGTACTAAAGCTGTGGCTATTATACTCAACGTGAGTGTTTTAAGGATACAAAAATAAGCCAGGTGAGAAATAAGACAATGTTAAATTCAGAGGTTGGTATCAGAGATTTAAAAAAGTAAATTTCAGGCTGAGCGTGGTGGTTCATGCCTGTAATCCCAGCATTTTGGGAGGCCGAGGCGGGACAACTGCTTGAGCCCAGGAGTTCAAGACAAGACAGTCTGGGGCAATATAGTGCGACCTTATCTCTACAAAAAAAAATCAAAAAATTAGCTGGGTATGTTGGCGCATGCCTTTAGTCCCAGAAACTTGGGAGGCTGAGGCAAGAGGATCACTTAAGCCCAGGAGGTTGAGGTTGTGGTGTGCTGGATCGTGCTGGTACACCCCAGACTAGATAACAGAGTGAGACTCCCGCTCAAAAAAAATGAAAAAAAATTCAATTTCAGCCCATACAGACATGAATAATAACCATTAATACTCCTCTGATGCCAAGGACGTGTTGTGTCCACCCTGTTACAATGACTGCATCTGGCAAAGTCTTAAGAAGAAGACACTGCTCAGATGTGTTTCTACTTGGGAGGAGGGAGAACGGACTGAGACCACACTCTGCGAATCACTGCGTGAGTGGTTGGGAGCTGATGCTCTTCAGTTCCTGGCCTCAGTGTCCTTGGGTTTAGAAAGAAACATTCTATGGTTTCTTCCAGTTGTCACCATCTAAGCCTCTTGTTTCCTCCTCAGAAAACCGTCATGGCTCTTATGTACATGGCACCATGCCTTGGTTCTCTTCCCAAACCAGAAATACATATACATGAGATTATCAGAAAACTGCAACACTTTCAAAAACTGAAACACACCCCCCCCATCTTAATAGTATACTGTAAAATATCAAATACCTTAAAACCAACTTTTTTCTAAGGTTATTTTTCTTTTATTTTAAAGATGTGGGGAACAATTCGGAATTAGATAAACAAGTGGTCATCGTACAGGTAAAGTTTGGACCTCCCTTTGGTCCCCAAAAACCAACTTTTAAAGAAAAATCTTAGTGACCTTCAGGAACTTATAGCATGATTAAACATCATTTACAGATTCGCCAAATAAGTTATTTATTTATTTTTGAGTCAGGGTCTCACTCTGTCACCGAGGCTGGAGTGCGGTTGCAAGAACACAGCTCATTGCAGTTTTGACCTCCTGGACTCAGGCAATCCTTCTACCTCGCCTCCCAAGTAGCTGGGACTACAGGTATGCACCATCACACCCAGCTCATTTTTTTGAGTTATTTTGTAGCAGTCTCACTATGCTGTCCAGGCTGGTCTCAGCTTAAGCAATCCACAGGTCTCAGACTCCCAAAGTGCTGGGATTGCAGGCGTGGGCCACCGCACCCAGCCCACACAAATAATTTAAATATGTGATCCCAAACTTGTTAACATTGTCTGAGTTTTTTTTGTTTTGGTTTTTTTTTTGAGTTGGAGTCTCACTCTGTCGCCCAGACTGGAGTGCAGTAGCCGCTCCCGGCCACCGCAGCCTCAACCTACTGGGCTCTGGCGATGCTTCCGCCTCAGCCTTCCAAGTAGCCAGAATTACAGGCGCATGCTACCACGCCCGGTTGATTTTTTGATTTATTGTAGAGATGAGGTCTCACTGCCCAGGCGGGTCTCGAACCCGCGGGCTCAGGCAATCCACTCACCTCAGCCTCCCAAAGGCGCGGGATTACAGGCTGAGCCACTGAGCCCGGCTCATTGTCTGAGTTTTATCTTCTCCCTTTCCCTGCCCTCTCTGGGATAGATTTCCTAAGAAATGGAAAACAGGCCCAGAGGGTTGTAGGAGAACCAAAGCTGTATCAGGAAGACCTCTGGATGCACCATCAAGCAACCAGTCCACAAAATATTTGAAAATGTACCAGCATTAACAGGCAACATCCATGCCCCTTACACCACTGGGATAATGCCCTTCCCTCACGTGGCGTAGTCCCTTTCTGGGAATCCACCACTTGCCTTTGAAAAACAACTCACTGGGAAACCAAGAGTGAGGTCTGCCAGGAAAGGGTGAAAGCCTTGCACTCTCATCAGGGGATGACTCACACAAAAGAAACAGGAATGTCAGGGCAGGTACTGATTAGCCTCAACCAGGAAACAGGCAGCAAGCAGGTACCGGGAGACTGTGCCTTAGCAGGAAGCTTTGTGTTTACTGCTGGATCTCAGGACATTTTAGAAAATGAGTTTCAGAAACCACCTCTGCATAAGGGTAGGAACTTATAGTAAGTGTCTGAGGACTGAGGACACAAAGCCATGACATCAGGTCATCAGGTTAATTTTCTTCTTCACAATTGTGAGGATCTCTTTTCTTTCATTTTATTTTTTATTTTCGAGTCAGAGACTCACTCCGTCACCCAGGCTGGAGTGCAGTGGCATGCTCATGGCCACTGCAGCCTCAGTCTCCTGGGCTCGGGTGATCCTTCCGCCTCAGTCTTCCAAGTAGCCAGAACTATAGGCATGCACCACCACACCCAGCTAATTTTTTTATTTATTGTAAAGACGAGGTCTCGCCAAATTGCCCTGGCTGGTTTTGAACCCCTGGGCTCAGGCAATCCTCTCGCCTCCACCTCCCAAAGTGCCGGGATTACAGGTGTGAGCCACCACGTCTAGACTTGTCAGGATCTATTAACTATCCTTTTGAAAATCAGAAATCCACTTGTTTGGCCACAAATACCCTGGACAGAAACTCTTCAAGTCTCCCTTCCTTCTGCTGCTGAGATACTTCCGTTCCCGGACTATTCTCACTGTCACCTCTGTGTTCTCTACTCTTCACCTCTTTTAGACACTTACCATTGACACTGACCTTCATGGAACACAACTTCTCTGCCTTTCTGTTTGTCTGTGTCATCACTCTATCCCACTGCCCTGAAAATGAGCCCAGGAGAATAGGGTATTCAGGAGTCCTGGAAGGAAGGTCTACGAATGGCCTTTCTAGCAATCTGTACACTTAAAAGCTAGAAAGTGCACCCTAGAGATCCTTATAGCACAGAAGTCAGTGAAATGGGACAGAACCATCAGGGCCTCAGCCTCACCCTGAGAATCGAGGGCAGACCTCCAAAGGAAATCCCTACTCTCGTCCCTGGGGTGGCACAGGACACACGCGAGGTCCTGGCGGCCTGGTGGCCTTCCCTGTGACACGTCCATGGAGAGCAGCAGCTAGGATGGGCCGGCGTGAGCGAGCAAAGTCAGAGGAGGTTCAGGAGCTTTCCTAAGCCAGGAAGACAAAAAGCTAAACACAAAATCTCTCCAAAGGGTCCAGGAAACTAAGAGAAGAGGCCTGGAGGCAGTGGCGGTGCGGCCTGGGAAGCACAGCTTGGTGGATGTAAGCCGGAGGCAGAGGCTTCTAAAGCCAGCAGTGTCTCCTGCTCCCTGGCACCCCACTCCTCTCTGAGTCCTGCTTGTAGCAGTAAAGTTGATAATCGGAAATGCTTGAAGTAAGATTAATATTGAGATACAGAGTTTTTTCAAGTGAGTGATTCCTTAGATGGATAGTTCTGGGTAGCTATAATTGTTCGGGGAGTAATCAGTAGTCAAGACTAGGAGAGGTGTTGATAGTGAATCAGTGAAGAAAGTGAGTGAGAAATTCATGTCGATGTCGTAGAGTTGGTTTAAACGAGAAGGATATTTCCACTCATCAACTGCCTTGAAAGCTGCTTTCTAGAGTGCAGCTTCTGATCTCAACTTCTTCCATTTCCAGGATCTTCTGGGAAAACCTACAGGCACACTAACCCAAACAGGCAAGCTGCTTCTGGAAGCTCCCTTCTCAGCTTCCATGCAATAGGCCCCTGCAGGCTGAAGCCCCCTGTCAGCCCCCTGTTGGTTCACGTCCCAAAAGCCAAGGAAGGAAAACAATGGGAGATAATTTCCTCCAGAGAGTAGAAAATGATTCATATATTCCAGGGGATTGTTTCTTCAGAGACTTCTGCCTCACAAATATTGAGATAATGAGAGATTTCCTCCCCCAAAGAAGTGACTCAATGCTCTTTAAACTGAAAGACAAGCTGAAGGATCAGATGTGATTAGTCTTATCAACACTTGCAACACAAGCAGAGATTGATTCAAGCAGAATGTTTTCATCATTCCACAAGCAGGAGTTGAGGAGTAAGATCATCGACATGAACTAGAATATTTTTCTAAACAATGTTTCATGTTTTAGGGTATTCCCTGTCATCCTCCCTTTCTCATTATTCTCTTCCCATTTTATTTCTTTGTTTTCTTTTTTCTTCTTTTTTTCTTTTTTTTTTGAGTTGGAGTCTCACTCTGTCGCCCAGACTGG